TTCATGACTGCAAGGCAGTTCTGACAACTGCAGCAGGGCAAAGGCTTATGCTCAAACTGGTTCTAAAAAGAATGAATCCAAGGATTCTGGCTTGAATGGCAAATAACATTTACCATTTGGATTTGCCATGAGATAGTGATTCATTGCTTCACCCCATAATTTCCTTTTTCCATTTGCCTAAATCAGGAGAGACGATGACTATTTTCTTCCCAACGGAGGCTCCAGGTTCGTCACATTCCACTTGCTCCTATGTACCCCACTATACAAATGCAAATAATTTTCAGAAATGGAATTGCTCCACTGGCTTTTATAGCAAAATTAAAGTAACAAGTCCTACACCACATTCAGTTAAAGCATGCACAAACGGTTTTATGCCCTCTGTCAGTTTGGATCTTTGTCAGATATTGCATAACCTGGTTGCTGAAAGGAAAGAGTTTCCAAATGTTCTGTGTCACTATCTTTGTTTAATTTGCTGATCTGTATCTGCTCTAGGAGAAAAGCAAAAGAAAGTTTGGGGATTTTTTGTTTTAAAGAAGAAATCTATTTCATAGGTTCATCACAAGAAGGAAGAGCTTCAGATTATTTTTAGGCTCAAAACCAACTGAAATGGTACAAAGTGTCAACATAAACAACCCTGTTAAGTTACACAGGAAGTTGCAGAGAGCTCCAAAACATCAAAACTGACAAATTATTCATATAAAGTTCTAGTCTGCCTTTCTGCAATCTGATCTTCATTTCAAAGTGAGAAGTTACGATTCCAAGTTAAATCTGAAAGTATTTCTGTCCATCAATCAAAGCTCTATGCTCCAAAGTCTGCTTAAGATCAACCTTCATAAACCAGGTAGAGAAACAGTGCTATAAGAGTCAGCTCTAAATGTATTACGAGATGAATCAAAGTTCAAAAGCATAACTGGACTTCGTACAGCTTATGCACTTTTCATTTGCAAAGAGCTGGGCAAAGCGGAGTTAAGCGAGAGGAACTAGCCCAATGTGCTTCAATTCAAAAAAAGAAAGCATTGCAAAGAAAAAAATAACCCACACAAAAAAAGTCCATGTAAAATTTTTATCGCTTCACATAAACTTCAAATGTCTAGTGGAAGGCATAAAGATGACCCTATGTTGTGTCTCCCTCCAGTAGCAGCCAGGCACCCTTGCTGGGTGGAGAAGAAATCTAGGCAGAAGACAGGTTGGGCCAGTTCCAGCAAGAGGAATTAAATCTGCTTTGCCATAGCTCTGACATGCACCAAGCCTGAAACTGAAAGGTGCCAGAGACTTCTTGGGGCTTTTGTACCTCCTTTATTTTTTTATCTTTTCAGGTGCAATGACAAATAAGAAAAAACTCATAAACTCAGACTAAAACTAGTTCTTTATTGACAAAGGTTAGGGAA